TTTGCTACTTTTGTGCTTTTTTAGCTGCTGAAGGTCCGAAAAGAGGATCTTGACTTGAACAAATCCCTTCTGCATTAGCTCCCAGTCCAATATCATGTCAAGGTTTGGAAAAACATATTGAAGGTCAACCGGTGAGCCACTTTTCGAGGGTTCCCTCACTTGGCCAGGAGTTCTCAACTCTAACATGGTGTTGGAGTCAACGTTGATGGCTGGTTTGCCATGCAGCATCGCCCTGAAACAACCACTGGTTGTGTAGGTCAAGACCCATCACCAAGACGGGACAACGAAATGATCCCGACACCTTGGTTTGGAAAGAATTATGAAGCTCCATAGGTTGGGGATGCCGCAGCTTTCCTCATTTAGAGACTCAGTTCCTGCGTATCTGGTCCAGTTCCGTGAGGAAGTATGGCTTCTGCGAAAGGCGGCTGGGGCCCCAGGGAGATGCCTTCCGAGAAGACTGGAGAAGCAGACGCAGAAGCAGCCCGAAAAACGCTGGTTTGCAGAGGAAGAGGGGTCCGTATCCAAGGCACCATTTTAGGTTTGAGGTGGACCGTGGGTACTTATAATAAACTCATGAACCATGATACGATTCTAACACACATTTGGGACCCCTGCTTGCATGGATCTTTGGATGGTATATACTGTCTCTGCCTTGACATCGTCAAGTAAACCAAAGCAGCAGGTCCGGTGCTAAAGAAAAGCCTGGTCTTCCGTTCCGGGCTGGGCTGTGCTCCATCCGGGCTGAGTTTGTCGTTTCTTCGCTTCATTTTCGCTTCGGTGAGTCGATCCACTTCCGACACCGATTCGAGCGGTTCAGTACGTGGAACACAGAAGGTAAGAGGCCGAGAGAACTCGGGCCGAAGAAACTGCCGCGGTTTTGGGAAAACCTTGGAGGGATTTGAGTGAAAGATTCGAAACCACCGAAAGCACCATGGAGTTTTCTGAACCGTAAAGATGTGATGTACTCGAAACCACGCACGGCCGCACGGTCTGGTGAGTGGAGGGAGCTGGCGTCGCGGTTTGGTAAGAGGACAACGGTCTTCCTGAAAAAGGGCCATGCCATCCACTTAACCCTAATTCTTACAGGGAGTGTGCAATCTTTATTCAGCATCTACTGTCTCCACACCTGAACCAGTCCTTCCAGTCTCCCGGAGTGTAGAAATGCTGAGACCCTGGTTCTCCCCGTTTTCTTGCATTCCCCACCAGGTTTCGCGGGTGGCGGTTCAGAGGGACGTTGGTCAAGATGAAGAAACAGTTTGGTTTGGTTGGTTCATAAAATCTATAGACTCCTAAGTAAAACTTTCGGCTGCGTTCTTAAAAAATCATATGTATATATACATACACCTCTTTGAAAAGCAGCCCAGGTGGGATTGTAGATCCGTAGATCTTTCTTTGGCCCAACACACCGCAGGTGGCCATTTTTCCTTAATCACCGGCACCTGCCAACAAAAAACAGTCAAGACTTGCACCCTAATACCCGCCGTCTCCACCCCGGTCTCCGCGCTTGGGTGCACTGCACGCTCAGTGGCACTGGCCTGAGGCGCTGAACCAACCTCACCTCATTCGACGGCGTCCATCCCCAAGGACAAATCCTTTGGTGTTCGGGCCGCCCAGCACCAGCGACCGCCACGGAATTTTCGCGACCCGTGTGGGTGGGTGAGGAGGGGTACGTGGCAAAATAGACCTGTGGGAAGAGTGAATGAAGAGTCCAAAACGAAGGACCAAGATGGACTATATTTCCACTGGCTTTTAAGGCATGTTAAGCTGCAGGAGGGGATATGGCTATGGCTCAGCCAGCAGGGTGCGGCCATTTGTGTCACCAGTGGACCGCAGATCGTCTACCCTGGACGGCTAGCCCAATTCGACCTGCGGCTCCCAGGCGATCTCCGTGGGCGCCAAATCTGAGGCATCTGTCGGGTTGGAACGGGACCGGGGGGGTGGGGTCAACTGTTCCAGCCTCTGTAGGTTTCAATGCTTTCGACCTTCAAAGACGAGTGGTATATATATGTATATATGTGTATATGATGATCAACGACTCATCCTACTACATGATGTTATTTATTTATGACATATCATGATTCATTTATAAATATTTATACGATGACGATGATGATGATGATGATGATGATCATCATCATCATCATCATCATCATCATCATCCTCATCCTCATCCTCATCCTCCTCATCATCATCCTCATCCTCATCCTCATCCTCATCCTCATCCTCATCCTCATCATCAATAATGATTCACTGATTATCCTATAATTACAGGTCAAGGACCTCATTTTGCTGGATCCGGTCATGCAAAAGCTGTACATTTTACTGGGTCCTTTGGACTGGTAAGGTTTTCTCCCATCCATTCGAATCCTTCTTTGCTTTTTGGTGGCGCTCTCTGCCACCCATCTTGGAACTTCATGGGGCCGCCCATGGCCACATTGTAGCCAGCTGCCATGACCCGGAACATGAGGGCATCCACGGCTGGAACATGCGGTTTCGCCCTGATGGACCTCAACAAAAACTGCAACAGCCAGTAGCGAAAAAGCTCCGTTCGTAGCGTCCCCGGAGAACGGTCTTTGCATTCTGCCAGTCTCATCTTCGCACCTTCTCCGAGACATGCCCTGGGATTTTTCGCCCCTTCCCACCCCTTCCCGCGGAGGGCGAGAAGTCCAACGGAGCCTCGTCGGTGAAGTCAGCGATCTCCGGCACCTCGCCCAACGGCGCCTCGGCCTCCGACGCGTCGGGTGAGCGGAACGCGCCGCGAGACGGAGGGGGAGACGGATGGGGGGGGGGTCGTTGAGGATTCCGCCTCCTGCCGGTACGTCTGGTCGGGGCCTGTATCAAAGCCTGCGCGGGATGTGTTGGGCGACCAGTGCGGTGGTTGGGGCTTTTGGGATCATCTGGCAGGGTCACCTGGAGGTGGGTTTGTGCAGTCTCGATCCGAGACACGCAGCGCACGCGGAGACTCGCGGCGGTCTGGACTGGGAACTACCACGTCGGCACCAAAAAAGGTATAGAATTCGCCGCTGCGATGAAGCTGGCAGAAAGACGTGCTAGATATAGCACGCACGAGTCTTCGTCTTCCCACCAGGCCTTCCGGGAAGTCAGGTTCACCTCCACAGGTGGTTTGTTGGGGCACGTCACACAGCGACATGTCTGGAGATCTTCGGTGTTGAGGACACCATCAACGGTCCTCGTTGTCGGACGTGGTTCACTTGGATTCGCAGAAACGAACAAAAACGAACGCTTGACCAGTTGGCCCAAAAGGCATTGATGTAGCCACTCGTGTTGCGTCTGAGGAACACGCAAGGACCGAAAAGGGAACATCATCAAGAAGGGACAGGCGGGGTCTTTCAGGTCTTTCGCTTGCGCTTAGTTCACACGTGGCTTGTTTGACCGTAGATAGGCCGCCAGGATCCGCCATCTCTGAAGATCTGAGACGCGATGGGTACCACTGCGATGTATGGATACCACTAGTTGGGTCACAACTTTCCGGGCGCCACCAGTGGAATTTCTCAGACACTGTGACCCTCCAGTGATGCCATTTGTGGCAAACCTCACGTAGGTATGGACTCAGTTAGAGAAGCTGATCCGCTCGATTGCTTCAGACCAGCAGCCACAAGCTCACGTTTGCTGACCAGCTTGGCAACAAGGAATCTCTGACAGAGGCGCTTCATCCGACCCGGCGGCCCTCACCCCTGGGGCTGGAGCTTGGGATGTTTGAGGATCCCTATACTGTTGCGACATGAGATCTAAAATGGGGTCCTGTCAGGGTCAATCTTTCCATTTTATAATGGATCATTTTTAGACTCGTGAAACTAACATGACTCTTAATATACTATATAAAGCCGACAGTCATTATTGGTGCTCCTGGGCGTGCCTTGGAAAGTCCTCCCACTTCCCAAAATGAAGAGACAGACATGGCCCAGTGCATGGTCACAAGCATGTTGAATAGTGGGCAAGTCGAATCAACCAAAGCATTCACAGCAAGTCCATTCAGCATCATTCAGCGCCATTGCCTTCTGATTCGAAAACACTCTTGTGGAGGCATGGCCGGCATGGCCCAGTAGACGGCCAACAAAGCATGAGCCCTCTGAGAAGCTCCATGGACCCTTCCCATCAAACATCCTCAGACTTCTTTACCTTTTCGGGAGTCGGGACACCTGCATGAGATCTTTCTTGGAGTGACCTGGTTCACACGGCCTTCATGTCGGTTCATCCGCGATTTGACTCGGATCGGACGGGGTATACTGAGCATGATATGAGGAATCTTCAAGCTTGGTCTGATCAAGCTGCTTCATGCTTGGGCTTGGGGGTCAGCCAAAGATCGGTAAGCCAGGAGTGAAGGCCACAGGAGAAGAAGGGTCAGTCTTAACCAGCAGGTCAAGGGGCTGCCGGGCCTGCGACCTTTCTTATTGAAGCAATTGAAGGAAGGCAAGCGGCTCATGTCGAAGCTACCGTTGCCATGGCTGCTCACAGCTGAGAAAATACATAGAGCCCACAAAGATAGCCCTGAATATGTAAAAAAAGGATCAAGTTCGTACTGAGATGCTGGGCTGGGAAATGATTCGCCACTGTTCAAAGAGCAATTCGAAAATGGTTTCATCCACATTTGGCAGGGCACATTTGGCAGGGGGGAGTCCATAGGAAAACCACCAGAGGACTTCAGGAACATGCAGTAACATGCAGACAGAAGCTTTCCTACAAAGTTCGGCATGAAACATCGAGCCCACCTGACTGGGTGAGCCCACCTTGATCCTCTTGGACCCGCCTACGAATGTCCGGTTCCGTCGGTCAACAAGAAAACGACGGAGGTTCGTTGGAGTCGCCGTCGCTGGTGGAGTCGCCGTCGGACGAGGCACTTTAGGAGGTTGCGGCACCAAGCAGCTCGACCAACCAACCATTCCGATTCCGAGCGTCCCATCTCCGAATGAACAGATGTGAAGAGAGGGGTCTTTTGGCAAAAAAGGATCCATGAGAGAGAGGAGAGTTAGTTGGTGACAGTCAAACTTTGTGCAGAGAGTTCCTCTCAACCTGCAATGGTTTCGCTGTGGTCGCCATGGCCCAGCAATCTGATTGCAATGAAGGCCAGACTGACTGAGAGTGATAGGAGCAGTTCTTAGGCAGCGAACTGGCGAGAAATTCTCTCGTCCAGCGGGTTACAGAACAAAATTGTTTGTTTAGCAAATGCAAGTCAGATGGACCATGAAAACTGATTGTGGATAGGGATTACTGTAAGAGGAATGGACATCCATCGTCCACTGCCAGGGAAGACCTGACCCCACCGTCGTGAAGCATCTTGAAGACTTCCATCTGCACCACGAACACGACTCACGAATACTGATGCTTTACTCAGCTTACGTAACACGACCTCATTGGAGAAACCTGCAAAGACTCACGACGACGTGATGGTTCAATACATCACATCTGAGAAACCCATGCAAATGCAGATGTCAATCACATGCCGCATTCCTTCAGAGCCCGTGGCCGGCCGAGCCAACGGACCGCCAGGCCGTGGGTGGCTCCCCGGGCGGGTTGAAGGCCACACGTGCTGGCCGTTGGCTCCGCGGACGGTGTGCTCTTCAAGTGGCTCAAGCACTTGGATGGTTTCTTTCGGGGGGGACCCCTATAACTCTATTTGGATCTATTTGATGGTAATTGTCGAGTTTCTTCGTGGGCAAGTCCGCGGTTCCTTTGTGCAAGATGTTGGTTTCCTGGTTCCGATCGAGCACATCCAAGCATATGGAGGTTTGCGAAGAGATAGAAGGCTTTCCAACACTCATAATATACATGCTAGGAAGGACCCACCAACGCTGTCTTTGCATGGGAATGGCTTTGTCCTAAAATGCCAACTTTGGCAAATATGCCCAGTAACTTTGGACAGTGAAAGAACCTGCCTCGAAATCAGAGCCCAAACGAAGCTGGTTTCCCTTATCAAAGCCTGTGGAAACAAATCACCCAAACTGAAGCTCTGGAGTTCACCTCTGGAAGTTCCGCAGAGATGTCTGCAAGTCCTTCAATTTCGTCGGGGAGCACAGATGTTGGACCCAAACAATCTCCACTGGCAGTTTTTCCGACCTCCAAGGCAACTTCAATCCCCAACCAGCGACATGGCCTCCGATCCGCGTCCAAGCCCTCGGCTTGGCCAACGAATGGCCCCGACTCTTTTCCTTCCGAAAAACCCGGCGACAGCCCGCGACCACGTGAGATGGCCAGGCAGCGATTCCTCCGAAGATCTTTCGGCCCAGCCGCTACCAGGGCGCCTTGCTGCTGCCGTCCGGCGAGATCCACCTGGAGGTGGAGATCGAGATAACGTCAGGTGAAGGTTTGGAATCATGGATCAGTGAGCTGCATGGTGGCTGGCTGCTGGGTGGCCGGTGGCTTTGGGTGGGAGGCTGGGTGGGTTTCGATATTTCTGTGAGGAAGATCAAAGCTACACCCCCTCAGACCAACGCATATGTCCGACCAACACACCTGCTGGCTCCAGCTGACCTGCTGACTCCAGATTTGAACCCTCCCCCAAAGAGTTAAGAAGGGCCACTCTCTCTGGGATGTACAGTATATCATTTCTTTGGGAAGGACTTTCTCTCAACGAAAGATGTGGGTCATGGCACCGGGACCCTGGTTGACCACCGAACATGAGAATAGACTACTAGGCTTAGGGTAGTAGTCCACCTACCAGGGTTTGGGGCTCCGGATTTTGGCCAGCCACAATAGATCATCATATTTCCGCAGGGATCTTGCCGGAGCGTTTCATGCCGAGCCAAAAAAAGGACCGAATCGAACACGGCCGGTGCCAGTCGAGTATGGAGCGGCACAAGCTGGTCGAAGAGTTCGGTCTCAAGCCGCGTGACATCGCTGCGCTTTGGTCACCAAGCGGGGGGAGGACAGGGGGCGAGTACTGGAGGTAAAAGGAGGCGTAGGAGGACCAGCAGGACCAGTAGAAGGGGGGCTTTGTTCGACCCCAGGAGTCCGTGAAGGGGCGACCTTTCCCATTCGAGGCCTTGGTGTCTAAGACACGACGAGGCTTCGACCTCAACGTGCGCCGTGGCGGCACGGTGCTGCGCCTTGGCGAGACCGGGGGGGTGGGAAACCCAATGATTGGGCTTCAAGAATTAGGGCAGCGGCAGGGCGTGAGCAACAGCTGTGAAATGGAGTGGCATGACAGACATACCATGCGCCACGATCTAAAGTCACTTCCAGGTCCTTCCAGGAACTTCTAAGGACATCTTCTCGCGTTAGTTCATCCACCCCCAAAAAAACACCCGTGTCGCTTCGAGTTCATCCTCCTTCTCAGTCGGAAGCAACCGCGGTGGGCCAGATCGGTCGTCTGAGGTCCCTGGGCCGTGACGGCCCGGCAGTGGTCGTGGCCAATGCCACAGCAGGGAACTCATTGGGGGGCGAATCTTCAAGCCTTCTAGGACCTAGGACCCGGAATTGGTTAGGGTGGGGAAAAACCATGTGTTTTTGCTAGGAACCAATGGGATGCAATGGGTGAGTTGTGAGTTCTCCTAGGCGATCGGTTTCCAGAAACATGATCGGGGGACCTTTGGTTTACAAAAGGAAACATGTGAGCAGACCCTCGTTGCTGATGTACACATCCTCATATGCTAGTAGTCACTAATACTATCTAATACTAAATAATATACTAGCAGGACTTTCTGAGTGTTTTCTCAAAAAGAGGGCTTGGGATGAACCAGTTCGCTGGTGACCACCACTTGTGGTGCTAAAAGAGGAGTTGTTGGGCTTTTTGTATGCCAGGATAGGTTGAGAGACTCTGTGGTCAGTACAAGTTGAAGGGGACTGTAGGGACCTCTCTCAGTTCGTCTTACCGTATGTGTATAGATACCTCTCGTATTGGAAGGGTTGAACTGTAGACTTGAGTCAAGGGAACCAGTTTGACAGAGGGTGGAGGCCACCGCTACTAGGGTCGGACCTTCTTCCGCTTCTCGCGCTTGATCGGGCTCCGCTACGAGGCGTTGATCCTCCCGCGGGGCACGGAGATCCAAACGATCGGCCACCGGGCGCGCGGTGGGTGGAGAGTCGGGTGAGTGGTGTCCGTGTCCCAAAGGTCGAAACTATTGCTTCAACTTGGGGATCTTGGGGGGGCATTGCGAAAAATGGATCTCAAAGGTATTCATCCCATGTGGTCTTGAAACAGAACCCCCCCCAAAGACTTGTACATCTTCGAAACGGACGCAAGTCGACCCCAAGCTGAGTTGCGGACCACCACTTCGACTTCTTTTGGGGCCCGGCCGGACGTGGCCGCAGATCCAGCAGAAATACGCGGAGCTGGTGGATTTTTCGCTTCCCGCAGCAGGAGTTGCTCGAGGCTTGGCGCCTGTTCAGTAGCCTGTTCATTTGGGGTATGGAGTAGATGAACTACCGATTGGGGGCCTGGCTTGTTCGGCACGCCGAAAGAAGGAATGACATGGCTCCACCCAGTCAGTGTGGCCAGAACAGCTTTAGGGATGCGGACGAAAGGTCACAGTTTTCATTGAACTTGATGGATGAGGGGTTGGAACAGGTTCGGACCGTTTCGGGCGATAGCCAGTTCATAGAGAACCTGCCTCCCTCATGCAATGTCTCATCCACCCAAAATTGACACGCACTGGACATTGGCACTCCAGAGTGCCCCAGAGTACCCTCCTGGTAAACCAGCATAAACTGCAGTTGGAGGCCTTTGTACATGGCCTCTGTACATAGTGATGTCCATCATGTTTGGTGCCTTTCTTGGTTGCATGTACATATCCCATAGTCAGGTTTGGTATCTAAGCTATGGAAGTGTATGGAAGTGTAGACCAATCAAGTCAGCAGAGTGTTCTGCAATGAATAGGTTTACTTGGAAGCCTGCAACACCGCGGAATTCTTGGCGCTTATACAAGTCCCATCTTTATAGACTATTCTTAGCAACTCTTGATGTGTGCCACCACTTGAGATTTGAGCCAAGAGGCTTGAAGGGGGCTGTATTGTTTGCCTTGTATCGAAGGCTTTCTACGCTAGTTGTGGCTGTTTCACATGCTGACTGAGGAGAATCTGTACCCTTTGCATTGGCCGTCACTGAGGTCTCTTGGTCGCATTTACACGTGACGGAACATGTTCGAACGTCCAAAATGAAGTGACATAATAGTGTTTTTCAAATGACTGATCAATGAGAAGCCTAGACTGACAGTGTCCGATATTGACAGGGTATACATTCAATTCTATTTTTTATTTATCTGCTATTATATATAATATATAATACTACTATTATCATTATCACTATTATGTTTTATTGTATACAGGTCATACATTCCTTTCCTTTGTGGCACCATATCATTGCAATCCAATGCCTTCCTTACAGAGCCCGCAGAGCCCACGGCCGGCGTATCGGTTCGATTCGCCTGTTTGTGCATCGAAGGGATTGGAAAGAGCCTGGGCAAACGAGCATCTGCCAGGGCTCACCACTGCGGCATGGTGAATGGAGTGTCCCGAATCACCTTTGTATCAGACACACCCCTTGGCTGGGTGATGGACCAAGACCTTCCACTCCAGCCACGCTCCAAGACCTTCCGCTTCTGCAGATCTGAGACTCCTTCTGCGGCCGCACTCACCCTCCTCAGCGGCCTGGACCGGCCGCGTCCGACACGCGGCATTTTTCAGGCCCTTTTAGCACTTTACTTGGACAAGATCACCAATCTGTTGCAGCCTGCTGTCGCCAAAGCCAACGTGCTTCTACGTCGCCTGGAGAAGGACCAGGTTTGAGGGGGCCCGATGGAGCTAGAGACTGTGCATATGGGTTGTGGGCCAAGAGGCTGTGGATCTAAGAGACCAGAGACCAGCGTACTCCTTTATTTTTTTATTGCTCAGATTGTTTATGTGGCTCTCATGACATGGGGGCCGGAACGTTTTGACATTTGGCAGCATGTTTCTACCAAGAAATAGGTTGGGGCATTACTTCGACAACCATGCTGGAGGGGTTCGTCCAACCTCTGATGGCCTGGTTGTACCTTGTTTGGGATTGGAAGAGACTCGGGGTATCCAGCTTTCAGCTCGTGTGGGGTTCAAATCATTTACTGCGTCCTATCCATTTGGGCTGGAGATGGATTTGTCACTAATATGGACTTCATTAACAATGCCAATGTCCTGTCAGGACGACCGTTTTTGGAAAGACACATGTCACATCACATCCGTGCCGTCGCGAATTTCATTCCGTGGCTGCGAATGTCGGGGTCGAAAGACGCTGAGTTGGCGCTTTCATTTACTTATACCCTTTCAACCTTATTTGGGAACGACTGCCCCAGTTGACACATTTCTTGGGGAACTGTTTAAACCACCATCCAGCTTGATGTTGACCATTTCAACGTGTCGACCACTTCTTGTGCAAGCTGAACTTGCTAGGTGAGTATGTGGGGACTGTACAGCAAGAGGCGAGTGGAGGGCGTGCATGGCCGGGTCCAGGGCAACACACGTGCCCGCGTTCACGCGGACCTGTTGTGTTTGTGCACCACACACTGCCCTGGTGCGGAACTTATGCGTGGGTGGAGGCTTTTCAGGGAGTCCCATGTGGTGTCCCACACTCAGGACAGGAAGCTCATTCTTCTAAATCACAGATTTGTGAGAGCCTCTTTCTTTTGTTGCCATGGAGAACACTACCACTATTTAAGTCTTTGGGTTCGCCCGATTCTTGCCATCACGATGTGGAATGCCAACCAGACTCGAGGTGTGGGAGGTCGCCAACTGGAAACCACTCCATGAGCCCTCGGGCTGCGACCCGCAAGAAGCCCGCTTCTTCCAGATGGCACGATTATTAGATGTCCTTTTACTTTGGGGTTGGGTGGATTAGTAGAGGGGATACCCTGGTGGTGTACAACCAATAGGTGGGGTGTATCCCAAACGGTGGGGTGTATCCCAGTAAACCAGTAACAGTCGGTATAAAGTAGTAACTCTTTTTGGGAAAAGCCTGCCACCGTTTTAACCATCATCATCCACTGTTACTGGTATACCAACCAACAGGTATATGCTACCAAATCGACCCTTCTATTATTCCCAAGGTTGGACATCATGATTGGACTTGGAACTGTTGAGATTTGCAGACGTGTCAAACATGCTGAAGACCTGCACTATTGTATAGTATGATGGATATGTTTCGGTTTTTCCACAGGGCCACAGGGTCACAACAAAACACCAGCTGGGGAGGAGATCACCCAAGAACTTGTGAGCTGGAGCGCACAACTTGTGTTTTTTCCGTGTGAGGAATGGCCAGATGCTCCTGTAAGACCTTCCTGCTTTGGGTCAACTTCAGGTAGAGGATCCGCACCACATGTCGTGGAAGTAGTGGATGAAGCACATGTTTTGAACTGACCACCAATCTTCAGATTGGACCAGATGGAGAACGGGAGTCTCAGCTTGAACTATGATTGGCAGAATGGTGAGACAATACCACCTCTCACGGGCCTGCTGTAGTGGTTCAACATCCCCGAAGAGCCCCCAGACACACCTCCCTGGTCATCCTGGCTGTATGGTTAATGTCTTGACTTGCAGCCGGCCTGCAGATCTCTACCTTCCAGTTGGAGAAGCTTCGGCGCACCAAGCAGCGGCTGGATGCCGTTCAGTCGCAGGCATTCGAGCAAATGGGAGTCTTTTTGGATCCTTTTTCGTTGGCTTGGAAACTAATTACTGTAAGGGGTGGCCGCGCTCCCACCCTGCAACCAAAGCAGCATGAACGTCCGGAGTATGTTGCCATGACATGCGCAAAGAGATTTTTCACGAGGGCACTTCAGGAAAAACATGAATGTAAAATCGATGGCCACCACGCATGTCAATGTCATCAGAGAAGCCTAAGGGTCGGTCGGAATTAGCGACCGGTGTTGGTCGCCTTCTGATCAGTGAAAGGATGTGGTCAAACCCATTACCTGTCTAACAGTCGGCAAACAATTGTCACCACGATTTTAGAGAAAGGGCCTGGCGGCCTGCCACCTAACCATCATCATCCACTTTTACTGGTACTGGGATATACCCAAGCCATACTCCTATCTAACATAAGTGCAAAGCAGGTCAAGGACCTTTTGATGCGGATCTCTTGCATTGTAGGCTATCCAGTTTTGCATCGCACCACATGGAGGTCTCGCACCACGGTTCCGATGTGAATCCAGCCAGCTCCGTGAACACGCACAGCGTCGAGCAGGCGGCGAACCTTCGACAAACCCTCTTCGAAGCATTAGGTGATGAGGAGCCGCGCATTCTTTCGCCCGAGTCGACGTGTCGATACGTGTCGAAAGCAGGGAAAACCGGAGCCAACGAGCTGTTGGGAATTGGACAAGATGTTGCCTTCCTGGGGGATCATGTTCCATGAACTGTTTCAAGTTCGGAGAGGATACCAAACTCCCAACCACATCCAACCACCCTGTTATTCATTTGGTGTGTTGTTTTGCTTTGTTCAGTGTGCATCAAATCACAAAAAGAGACCCAAACCAGAAGTAAGTTCATGGCATCTTTTTTCTGTTTTTCTTGTCATCTGTGCCTTGGAGCCGAAGCTTTGGGCAGAGAAGCCTCCTCAGATCCCCTAAAAGCAAGAGAACAGTGAACAAGTGACTTCAAAGCACACCACGGTGGCACAAAAACATGCACGTGTCGAAAGCTTCTCCAAAAACCTATGCGGACTTTCTTTCTTTCTTTCAAATGGACACTTCGATTGGACGGACCGGCAGGATTGAATTCGTTTGTAGGCCTAAAAGAGCGCCAAGAGTATGCGGACTCTCTAAACAGGCTTGTTTTCTGATGGGAACGAATCGAAAGACGTACATCGGTTTCCCATCCCGGCCGCAGGGTCCCATCCCAAACCTGGAGCCGTTTTCGGGTCCTTTCGTTTTTGGAACCCAAAACGGCCGCACCCCCACTGAAACGACTTTGGGTTAGGCTTCCTGTGGTTTTTGGATGCAGAATGATGCAGAACAAAAGCAGATCGGACGACCACTTCAGCTTCGACCCTGGCGACTCTGGCCGCCGGTGTGACGACCAGCGCGTCGACGGTGGACGACGCCAGGAGGACTTGTCTCAACTCTCCAGCGCTGTTGGAGCGACCAAGGAGGAGCCGTGGTCGAGCCCGCCGAGCGGGGGCGGTTTGTTCGGGCGTCTCCGGGAGTTGGAGCGTGACGTTGGTCGTTGCAGACGTCGATTGATCGACTTTCTTTCATTTTTTTTCTTTCCGGGGAGAGTGACTGGTTGGTAGAGATATCTCATGAAGATCTGCCTTTGCAGTTTCGTTTGAGAGATTTCCTGCACGCGTTGGCTCCTTTCCAGTTTACGATTCCAAGGCTTAAGGCCTGAACTCATTCCGTAAGAAAACCCGACGCCCGAAGCAAGATTGCCGCTATTGTCGCAAGTTCCCTTGGTCACCTCTTCTTATTCGGAGAGCCACGACCAATGAGCTGCACCACGAACTGTATAAGTCTGGTTTGATCCTGCCTGATGAATCGTCGTGCCCCGTCACCCCAAACGACGAGGGATGCGTGCCAACGAAGCGGTGCCCGCTACATGGTCGCTCGACCAATGATCGAGGAGTGGGAACTCTGCTTTGAGTATTACTCCCAGGGCGCAGAAGAGGTTGAGGCAGAGGCAGGGGGTTGGGTGGGGCGCTCCCTCTCCTTACGAACATTTGGTGAGTACCATGCAGGTCGCGGAAGGTGTGCGAGTCGCTTCGCTTCAAGCCCTCCCCCCAAAAGAACGAAGAACCAAAACGTGTTGCGGCAGCTTGCGGCCGCAGGGGTGGATCCTTCAGCCCTTTCCTTTCCTCTTTCCTTCACCCCAGTCCTTCTTCCATCTTCCCATTCTTTGCTAACCTTCTCATCGAGGCCACGGCGCACTCAGAGTCGATGGACGACTTGGAGACCTTCATCGAGCTCCGCTTGAGCTCGCGAAGGTCCGGTGCGTTTTTTGGGGGGTCGGACGCGCGCACCAACCACCGCTCCAGGTGCTCAAGGTCGGAGGAGTGTGAAAAGGTGTGGTGTTCGCGACCGGGTTGAGTCTGGAATGGTCACAGTAGGTGAAAGCTCTAGCTTTCTGTGCTTCTCGTAGAATGCTGACTGATCAGGCCAGTCAGCTGGATATTGTTGTTGGGCGTTTGAAGAAAGGGCAGTCCGCCCTTTTGCACACCGAACGGGATGAGCAACACCCTGGCAGGCACTCAAACAAGGCATAGCGAACAAGTTCTGCATGGCTTCCCCATAAAGCCATCCCAAATCATTCTTAGTAGAAGGACCAATCCAAGAGAAACATTGAGCTGTGGACAAATCAGCACTATTTTCATCTATTTGAGCTGAGGCCTCATCAAAACGATTGACTGCAATGTTTCTTGAGGGCAGAGAACCCATGCGAAGACGTGTGTGAAATCTTCCACTCTTCAGGTGTATTCTAAATCCAAATCGAAGTGGCGCAGTAGTGCCATGCGGCTCTGCTTTTCGAAGCCACAGATCGCCAGGTTGGAGCTGGAGAAATCCCAGCTAAACCTAGCTGCTTGGTCATTCTGGATCGCCGGCAGAGGGTTCTAGGAGAAACAGAGAAGCTCCTAGATTTGCATGATCTTTCTTTGACCTCATGAACCAACCGTTGAGCAGAGCACTATTTCAGACTATTTCCATCTATTTCCTGTTTTCATGGGTTTCCAAGTTGTGTGCAGTCTGCCCCAAAAATCCAGCCCCAGCCAACGGCTGCGGGGTTGGGGGATTTGTTTTCCACACCCTTGAGACTCCTGCGAACCGGCTTTGGGAGAAAAGCAGACCCCAGGTGACCCCAAGATGACATCAGGTGCTCGTGAAACCGGTGGTGCTCTATGATCCATCCAGTGCTGACTGAAACCATACCAGGACCCCCAGTCGGGGTGGTAGACATGGACACCCCGAATCACAGCTAGTTCAACGCCTTCGATCCTCAGAACCGGTCTCCCAAAAGCACCTGAGACGAGCCAAACGCCACACGCCACAGCAACTGAGGAGTTGTTGGGCGTGGGCATGAACTGCGCGGCGGTGATCTCCGGAATCATGGGCACCTCCGCAGGTTTTCGCGTCGCCAGAGCTTTTCACTGGTCGGAAGGACCTCCTGGTTTTCGGTGGCGGGCGAACGGGGCGAAGAACCAACGGCAGAAAAGGGAGCAAATCGAGGGTGAAAGGGAGGTTTTGGGGTGGTTTTCTTTTTTTTTGTTGGCAACTCGCTGTTTATATCCAGTCATCTCACAGAAGTGGATGTGCGATTGGCGCAGCTTTTTGGGGTCAAGAGTACATGAGCCTTTCCTTTCTACTTCCCGAAGTACTGCAAGAACTCCGGTGGTGGGGAGGTTCATCTAGTTGTCCGTGGGGCGCTATTGGTTTGGCCTTGGTGTGCGTGGCAATTGGAAGCTGGATTTGTGGATTCGTTTTTGCTGCCCTGATCTTTAGCCCACAGTGTAGGCGGCTGTTGGCTCATCTGGCTCGGGTTATCGCAATCAATCTTCAGCCTCCAGTGCCTGTGCAGGTTGACTTGTCTAGGCGCCTTGCTGAGTACAACAGATCTCAGTGAGCCGTGGATAGTGGGGACCCACTTAGGACGTGTCCGGCTGGGACAACTAGGATTGACCATCAGTGTGCGCCCAGTGCCTGGATCTCGAGCACCTGCTCCTGGTTGACCATTGTGCACTCAGAGCCAGCTGGCTCTCCTCCCGTAAACACCTGGGAGACTTGATCGACTGGCCTTGTCTGCCGACCCTGCTGAAAACTTTTGAGGGCCCTTGACTTGCAGTTCTTGGCTGACCGGAAGCGATCGAGTGTGCCCAGGTCCAATTTCGACGTTGTGCCCCAGTGCATTGCCTTTTCTCAGCTTTGTTTGTCCAGTGCCTGAGTCACATGGCCACCGGAGGTTCAGTCAGATCCTTAGACGTTGAAGGCGTGACAGCGCCTCCGGAGCTTCGCTTACGGGGGTTCATGCTAGCCGTGCCAAATTCAGAAGTTTTGCAAGATGCCATTTTGCAGTTAGAGCTAGGCGAGGTTGCTCCTGCTTTCCACCCGGTGTCAGTCGAAGTATTGACAGCTCGTGGCAAGTCCCTAGGAGTAGGAGAGATCTTCCTTGTAGATTTACCGTGGTCTGCAGCCCCGTTCTTCTGTCAGCCTATCACGAAGCGCGGGTTTTTCCGCGATGCAGAGTTCGTTCAAGTAGCTGTAGGAGACAAAGTTGGCAAACCTTCGAAAGAGCAAGTCTTTGCAGCCGCCGAGGCATGGATAGCTGCTGGGATGGACGAAGACACAGCCCAAGAGTACATGACTGGGGACGAGGCGCTAGATGCAGAGGAGCCAGATGTCAGCCAACCTGGCAGGCCCCAAGTTTCAGTGCCATCCGATCCAGGCTCGGGCCAGCCTCAAGAAGTCCAAGCTCTTTTGAGGCGTGTAGCCGAGCTAGAAAGCCAGTTGAAAGCAGCTCCGAGCCGCGTGTGCAGCCGGTCCAACCCCGAAGGCACCACCATTGCTCGACCAGTCTGGCAATCAGTTGACACCAGAGCAATGGAATCGCCTCCAGAAGTTGGCAGGCGTTCCTCCACCCCGAGTGGGTCAAGCAGAGACTCGGCGCCCATTCGTTCCAGCAGAGACTGTATTGCAGGAACATGCTTTGGTCAGTTTGGAGCGGGAGGTCGAGGAGGACGGTCTAGCAATGCCAGACCTAGGTCAGATGGCCCTTTCCAGCGCGGATCCATTGCAGCAGATCCTGGCAATGCAACTTCAGCAGAATCAGCTGATCCAGAAGCTCTTGCCCCAAGCACCAAGATCCTGTGCTAGGGGCCTCTCAGGAGGGGACAGCGGTCAGGCAGTGGCTCAAACGTCAAAGGGTGCTTGGCCAGAGAAGCTTTCCAAAGAGCAATTCAGGACCTTCCCAAAGTTGCAGCACTCACTCAGAACAATGCGATGAAAGAGTTAGGTATTGGCCCAGACCGCTGCATGCCCCTGGCCGAGTTTCGACTGCTCAGCCTGGTAGCCACAATGCTTGCCGAGAGCTGGGCCATAGGCTACGAGGCTCGGGACAAGTTGCTGGTGGGAGCCGTGTCCAGGATGATGTTCTTTGTGGAGCAGACAGCGCTGGACTCCTCAGTTGGCCTGGCTTTTGTCAGGATATCCAGAGCCAGCGAGTCACATGATGATGACCTCTCGAAAGAAGCCAGGCTTGGAGCCTTTTGCTCGACTCTGCCCTGCGCCATGGATCTCAGCAAACCTGTCATACCTCCGGGATTTAGACTCGCATAGCCAATTTGTCCAAGCCAAATCGAAACAAGCCTCCTCTGTCAGACGACGACAACAAGGAAGCCAAAACGAAGCCAAAGCCTCAACTCAAGTCGAAGGGGAAGGGAAAGGGTGCCAACAAAGCTGCCTCGGACCAAGCCGAAGCTCATCCGAGTTCTTAGGCTCGGGCTCTAAGTACAATGATAGGCCCCCAAAGAGGGATGCTTCGTTTGATAAGCCTACCCACCCCAAACAAAAGACGTTTGTAGATCAACATGCGGCTGGCCAATTTGAGAAATCTCATTTTGATCCCACTCAGCTTATGCAAGTTTTGTGTGATGAGTTTTTCAAATGCAATACTTGTTTAACTCATTTTGTCAAGGCTAGTCTTGCTAGCCCCACCTGCACTGTGCATGGTCCCTCCAAAGGGTCCTTATGGCCTGTCCCCCCCATCAGGTGGCGATGGGCGGCAACCTTGAAGCCGAACCCACCGCGTCGGAGGCGCCGCAAGCTTTTTGAAGTGAGAGCCCGCCTGCTCAACATTTTGCTTTGCACGTTGAATTGGGAAACTCTGGGGAGTGTGAAAACGCCCCCGTCCTGTGCCCAGCTAGGGGCACCAATCAGCCAGCGTCAGCATAGCATCATCGAGCGTTTCGAAGGCATGCTATCTCACTTTCTCAGCATGGCTCCCTTTGAGGGTTCGGAGCTGGGTCGAGCTGCGGGTAAATTTCAAGGACTAATTGATTCTTTGATGGAACTACCTAAGACAACCTTAGGGTATGAGGACCTCTTTGATCTGTTTAGTGATTTGCGCAGAAGTTTTGATCCATGCAAGTCGCATTTTGCGAAACCAGTCAAGCTGCCAGATCCACCGCCTGACCACGAGCCATTGATCGGTAGAAGCACTGTTACAGCCACCTTGCAGAGTGCCAAGCCGGTCGAAGCTGACAGGATTAAGTGGGAAAATCCGCCGTCCTTTGAGGCCTCAGGATATTTGGATCCTTTGGTTCGTGAAGCTTTTCTGGAACCCGAAGTTTTGAGGAACCCCCCAAATGAATGGCCCAAGGCTTTTCCAGCCAAAATGCATGCTAGCCGGGGTGAAATGATGAAGCTCATTAATAGATGGGATAAGTTGGGTGCTTGTTGCATCATACCAGCCGACTCCAAGGACTTCAGCGAAGCTGTCGTCGGGGTTTTTGCTGTTGATAGGGATTCCCATTTTGATAGGCTCATCATCAACCCAAAAACTATTAACGGTCGCATGCATAGCTACTCGCACTCAACAAAAGAACTTGCTCCCGGTTGCATGCTAGGGCTGCTGAGTTTGGAACCTGATCAGATGTTTCAATTTAACGCGGATGATTTGTCTGACTACTACTATTGTTTTAAGGTCAGCCCTGAACGTGCCCAGCGAACGCTTTCCGAATGATTTTCAGTGCCGATCAGTTGCGTCATGTGCAATCTTTCCAGCCAGAGTTTGAAGGTGAAAATCTGATGGTTTGTTTGAGCACATTGGCGATGGGAGATTCGCTGGCCGTGGAAATCGGTCAGCAAGCCCACTCCAACGTTCTCAAGGTTTGGTGTGGTTCAATGGTTCCAGCAGAGTGTTTGCGGTATCGCTGCCCCATTCCTCGTAGCGACTTTGTTGAACTTCTAGCCATCGATGATCATGTGGGGTTGCAAAAGTTAGCCATCAAAGATTTCCCCTATCAACCTAAACTCCGGGACACTGAAGTGTTTGAGGAAGCCAAACATGCATACGCCAAGGTCGGTTTGGTTCAGCATGAAAAGAAGCGGAAACGCAATCAGGTTCGAGGCATTATCCTTGGTGCTGACTTTGATGGGATGGCAGGGGTTGTCATGGCACCCAGGTCTCGTGTTGCTGTCTTCAGCATGCTAACGATTCAGGTTGCCCTTCAAGGATACTGTACCCCGAAAGTACTCTCAGTGTTGATGGGTTGCTGGATTCACGTGATCCTTTTCCGCCGTGTCATTTTTGCCTCCATTGAGCAGTTGTTTAAAGAAGGTCAGGGGTTACCACAAGATCAGATTTTCAGACTTAGTGCTCGAAGTCGCTGTGAACTGCAAGTGCTTGCAATTCTCGGTTCAGTAGCGCAAGGAAACATGAGAGCCAAACATGCCAGCAAGATCTTTTGCACAGACGCCAGCCCCAGTGGGGGGGCGGTCATTTCTGCGGATATTGGAAAGCAAGCCTCAGCTGAGATATGGCGCCACTGCAAGCAGAGGGTATTACACAAAACTTCAATCTCCAGTTTCTGACATCTTAGAGGAGAAAGGGTTCACTCCCCTGTCTGATAGCCTAGTCCTTCCGAATAGTCCCTTACCCGAAGTTACTCCTCATAGCATTCCACCTGCTCTCAGTGAAGGGCTGTTGTATGATTGCGTTGAACTTTTTAGAGGATCGGGGAACTGGTCTGAAGCCCATTCCAACAGAGGTTTAAAAGTCCATGATGGAGTTGACATCTCCGGTCGCCGGCTGCGCTTCATGGATTTGTCCAAGCCTGGCGTTGCTCAAGAGCTGGTAGCACTTGCGTTGCGACGGGTGTGCCTCGACTGGCACGCAGGTGTACCATGTTTAAGCTTCGGCGCTTTACGTAGACCCCAGGTTAGAAGTAAGTCCCAGCCAGCTGGCTTTGACCCGAACAACCCTTTTACAGCCTTCCACAACATGCTAGCAAGACGTACTGCTTTCATCCTCACGATTGCGCTACTGACAGGTCACTACGTGAGCGTGGAGCAGCCGGGGGGCAGTCGACTGTTTCTGCTGCATTGTTTTCGGGTCATGGTGAGCCTCGGGAGTGTCATTAGCCACTTTTCTTTCTGTGCTTTTGGGAACCCCTTCCAAAAACCTTCCAAGTGGTTACATAATAAACCTTGGATTCTCCCTCTTGAATGTGGGTGCAGTTGCCAATACAAAGGACGGGGCTTCGTCGTACAGGGTGGATTCACTGCTGCCAGCGTTGCCGATTTCGAGAAGCGGTGCCAGCCTTCTAGCCTTGCTGTTTATGGGCGCTCACCGGTGGCGGGTGAGACTGTGGCAAGTTACTCTGCGGCATACCCGCTCAAACTTGTGAACAGCATGGCTTCAGGTCTCAAGAACGCTAAAAATGTATAATAGGCCAAATTCCGCTTTCAACCAAAATCCGTAGTTTGCAAGAAGTAGGGCTTGAAGGTAGTGATCCGATGCCCACCATTTCAACTGAACCTGTTTACCCAGACAGGCCTTGGTTTGAAAGTCCTGAATGGATAATTGAGCTTTGCGATTCATTACCCTTCCGAGAAGTCTTTAGATATCATTTCAAACAAGCGGGACACATCAATGTTAATGAGATGAGGACCTATAAATCCTTCATTAAGAGCTGCGCCAAGTCCACTCCTGACAGTAGGATCGTAGCCTTGTTGGATTCCAGAGTTACTATAGGCGCGGCCTCGAAGGGGCGTTCGGCATCGCCTGTTTTAGGTAAAGTGTTGCGTGGCACCATGGGTTATGTGCTAGGCTCAGGTCTTTTTCCAGGGTTGCTCCACTGCCCGTCCAAGGCGAACCGGAGTGATGGACCCTCACGAGATCGAGAGCTCGCTCCTCCAACGCGGGCGTTTCCCCAGTGGTTGTTGTCGCTCCAGAAAGGCGACTCACGAGCTTTTGACTTCGTAGTGGCGTCAAGTCGTTTTCCCAAGAATGCCGCTCGCTGGCTGAGATTTCTCCTGCTTCTAGCAGGCGACATCGAAGAAAATCCAGGTCCGCCCCGAAAACCTCGAGGGCAGATGAACTTAGGGGTTGGTTTTGCAAAGGCCACAGCAGACAGAATGCGCAAATGTTTGGATGCCTTTTTGCTTTGGTGTGATGAGAGGCTGCTGATTTCAAGCCAAATCATCACTTCAGATATGACTGCTCTGGTTTGGGCCTCGCGGGCCTATGGCATGTATCTGTTCGAAGCTGGCCTCCCTAGATACTTGCTGGTGTATGCGATTACCGCATGCCAAGATCAGTTTCCTGCTTGCAAGCCCCAGCTTCATGTTGCTTGGCAAATTGACAAAAAGTGGCAGTTGCATGAGCCCGGTGTTTGCAGAGCAGTACTTCCTGCAGTGGTGATCCGTGCTATGGCCTGCTTGGGAACTCTCTGGAAATGGTCCAACTGGACTGCCCTTGTTTTGCTAGGTTTCGCAGCCATGCTCCATCCCAGCGAAATGTTGGCATTGACCAGGCGAGATTTAGTTTTCCCCCGTGACCTTCACTTTGACCAACCTGCCCTATATGTTCGAGTTAAGGACCCCAAAACAGCACGCTTCGCAAGACGACAGCATAGCCGAGTGGATGATGTCAGCATTGTCAGAGTGGCTGAAGCAGTTTTTGGTAGGATCCCCCTCGATGAGCATTTGTACTTGGGAGCGATAAACACTTTTCGCAGACAATGGAATGAAATCATGCATTGTTTAGGTGTCCCTTGCAAACAGAGCGAAAGAGGGGCCACTCCTGGTGTACTTCGTGGATCTGGAGCGACCTTTTTCTATTCCTGCACTGAAGACCTAGAGCTGGGTCGCTTGGCGTGGCAGGTGGTCCCGTCTGAAGACCTTGGAATTTTACTTGCAGGAAGTCGGGTCGCGCATGTTAATCCACGAACTTCCAGTTTGGCCCCGCGAAAAATTTTTTGCGTTGTCAGATGCAGCTCCGGCTGTGATTGCTGCTCATTTTTCCTTTGCAGGGCAGTAATTTAGGGTTGGAAGACTCTGCTTTGGTTTGATCTTTGCTGCATCATTCTTTCAGTGCATTCTGGGTTGGCCATTGTGGATGTCTTGACCAACAAACGTTTGCTGTTCGAAGATTCCTATGAAGATTCCTGTGAAGATGTGTGAAGATTCATGTGGAGCAGCACAGCCGGGAAACTCTGAACACCGCAGGTGGAAGGAAAATGGAGCACGCAGCTGGCAGAGAGATGACATACGTTGCTATTTTGGGCCAAGGGGGCGAAAAAACGGTGTTTCTGGCAAACCAGGGGACCGGGGTCGTGGCGCACCTCTGGTACAGGGACCACGACCGTCGAGTGTGGTGCAGCCACTTCCGTCGAGCATTTAGGCTCCATGTGTAAACCTCCGATTGACATGGGTGGTTGCTCCTTTGACTGTCCAAATGTTGAGGCCATCGCTTTAGTAGGCTGGAGGCCACTTCGCTATTATAGGTTGGAGGCCATTGCTAGCTTCTGAGGCATGAATATTGAGAGCGGCCTTGAGACTCGGCGACCGGCCTTCTTTTACAAATTTACGCTGCTCCTTCTCCTGGGCTCGGCTCTGGTGTCCGTGGTGCTCAAGACGCTGGTGCTTCTTGGCGACCGAGGGGTGGACCGAAGACCCAAGACTTAATGTAGAGGCTTGATACTATTTTTTCAGATTATTAATATCTATTATATGACATAGTATATGAATATATACTGTAACATATATAACTCAACCATATGAAGAGGGTTTACAATCCATCTTGTTTTAGCATCAAGAGTCTACCTTAAGAGTCTTCGGGCGGGTCATTTGTGGTTCGTCCCTGGTCCTCACATCGGGTTCAACTTGGCTTGAAGACCACGTGTGCAAAGCCAACTTGTCAGAATGATCGTGGGGTGGCAAGGCCAGCGGAGCAGGTGATTTTCCATGTTCTCGAATTCTTTGGATTCAGGGTTTAAAATTGTGAACAGCACAGAATCCACATGCACAAGTAGCATGTACCAAGCTTGTACACTATCTGTACATACATCGCTCAAGAACGTTTATTATCATATTGCACCACGAACTCTTCTATGGCGGAAGGACCTACGTGACAGGCAGCTGATAAAGGATAATAAGATGCAGCCTGGCAGCTAGCATGGCAAACTGTCCAGCCTGCCCAGAATTGGTTAGGGTGGACATGTGGACCTCCAGTTCATCTCTTCTTTCATGCATGATCAATGTTTTAGGAGGTTTGAGGCTTTGCCGTGTCTTCTGGAGGGTGCAGGTGAAGACTGAACGACTGAACACCCGTTAGAGAAAAAAGTCTCCCCCTTCTCTGAGAGCTCGGGTCCAAAGCTGCCCATGTTGACCACGTGTTTGGTCGCGGACATGACACCAGTGACACAAACCCCGCTGAGGTCCCGACGCTTGAGCCGACAGGCCGGGTGGGTGGGCAGCGAGCCGGGCGACTGTTAGCTCGTTGAAAAGGAACATGTTACTAGATGTTACTAGTATATAGCTTCTAGCTAGCGAATGTTGAAAACGCATCTGGTCAAAGGGGTCGAATCCTTTGAAAGGCTTCTCGGTGGCCGAGGTGTCTGAAGGCCGAGGCCGAAGCGCCGTTCGCAGCCGCTAAGAGGCGATGGAGAACCCAAGCAGTTTTGAGGACCACCGCGATTCTGCGGTCCATTTCCTTTCAGTTCGAAGATGTTCACCAGTTGCCAAGGATGCCCAGCACTTGGATCTCCCCCCAAAACAAGACCGTCTTCCAAGATCAACTTCATGTTTCTTCTGTGCGCTGGGCACCTCTTCTTCCCCATCTCCAAAGGACCCGCCCCGCCCGAAGGTGCTTCAGCTCAACCCCTCCGAGTCCTCGCTCCGCCCTCGACCCAGGCGAACTCCCTGCTCCCGAGCTCCTCCTGGCGGTCGCGCCGCGGCCGCGAGGCGCTCCCGGAGACCGGAGGCACGACGCGGTGGACGCGGTCGTTGGGAGGCCACGCGACACTGAGGAGACGAGCCCGTGTCCAAATAGGAGTGCTGCTTGGATGTGGGCTTCAACAAAGCACAGTGGACATGTGGGACGTACAGTGGAAGACTCGGAAGACCTTTAAGAAACAATTAAGTCTTGCAGACTCTTACTATAGTCGAACTTTGTCAAAAACTGCATCATGTAACTCTCTAAAGCGAGCTTGAACTGTCAGTCCACTATGGCAAAGGACAAAGCGGATCATATCTATGCAAGCGGGTCAAGCTTCCTTCTCGGACCATAGTGTACATTCCTGGTTATCCCCACAAGAACAGAACAAAAGTATCCAAAAGTCCTTGTGCACAATAGAACCTGAACATGAACCACTGGAAAGACTTGCAAACAGGTGGTCAGTCTGCAGACCCTAGACCAGCCGACTGCCAAAAAAGCCTTGGTACCATCGTACCAAGTACCACTTGGTACCTTCGTACTGCCACTGTTGCTTGGGTAGGGGGTGCAGACGATCGAAAGACAGTCATTCATACAATTCATCTGTGTTGTAATTGGATGATTCGTTGCTCCTCGTATTTCCCTTCGGTTGATATTACACCCAATGGTCTCCCTTTTTCCCCGCCCCAAACTGGCGCGAATGAACGCCGAACGCAAAGTGAATTTGGACACAAAACTGATCCAACTGGTCTGCCAAGAGGTGTGTCACATGTCTGATTTGGTGGACTATGGCTGTGGGTATTTGTGGGTCCAAAGCCCGGATAACTTGGTTGAGCATTGAACATGAACAGAATAGACTAGCAGTGACTAGCAGCTTAGCAGGGATGGTCAACCTACGGTGAAACGGGCTCCAGGTGTCACAGTTAACGAAGAAAGAACACGACCTGCGAGGTCAAAGCGGAGAGGTCTGGTACCCAACTCTGCCAAGCGCTAGGTCCGCTCAGTGGCAAAGCCTGATGCCACCAGTTTTGACAGTCCGTGATATTGATTTGACCATGATTTGACCATGGATGCAGGTTGCCGTGTCTAATGGGAATTCTTCCTGAAGACCGGGATCCCACCCAGCTCCGCAGTTCCAAACCGTCGCTTGGGTCCATCTTAAAGAGGGTTCACCAGTTGCTAGATATGTTAACCCCACTTGGTGGATGTTAGTTTTTCCAAACTCTAAAGAAGCTGAACAGAGGTTCCACAATTGAGACAACTACAGATGGTGTGCGTGTGGTGCTTGCAGTAGGGAATTGTCTTTGGAGTGAACCCGTGATACAGATTCCAAATCCATATTCTCACTTACAGTCAGCGCAGGTGCAGGCGTGAGTAACGGTGGACAAAGAACCTCAAGCCAACCCAGAGCCAGGAGACATGAACGCCGATGGCGGGTTGACAGTACCAAGCTTTGCGAATCCCTTGATCTGACCTTCTAAACCAAGCAGATGGACTGAGCAGTTTTTTGCTCTTGTTTTTGAGTCGGTCAAAGTCAAGGTCCCTAAAGGTCTAGAGAAGGGATATTTCCACAATCACGAACACTTTTCCAGGGGTATTTGGTAGGGGGTACACCAACCTGAAAGACATCACATGACATCACTGTGGAGTGGCTTCACCAAGCACTTGAAGTAGGATCCTGGCTAAGCCGCCAGGGATCCCATTGGCTCAAATCAATGCGGACTGAGTTTTGCCAGGATACCATTCCCAAGCAGATCTTTGATGATCTTTGACCCAACAAAAGATCTTTCCCAGACAGAGAGGACTAGGGTCAAGAGTCATAGATTTAATATCAATCGGACCAGCTGCACATTTCTAGATTTGCAGAGGCTAAAAAGAGCCCGTCAAACTCGCTCCCAATGCTTTTTCATGATTCTTTATGAACCAAAGGCAACTGTATGAATCATGTTTCAACTGCAGTCTTTGGATTCATCAGCAGGTGACACTTTGTTCATTTTTTAAATCATGCAACGGAGTGAGTCCCATGTTTCTCACTGTCTTGGATTGATGGCATCCTTGAAAGCCGGGCAAGTTCACGGAAACTTGACCCTTGTGGTTTTCCTCGGCCGGGAAGCACTGCCCATCCGTTTCGGGCCGTGTCAAGGGGCCCTTCTTTTGCACGGTCAGCCGCCGGTTGTAGGGCTCTGCATGGACCCCTGGGAGGGGAAGCCGAAGAGCGACTGAGACGACTGAGCCGAAAGAACATGTCAAGCAACCATTGCTACGACAGGTTCGCGAACCTTGCTCCGTTCGTAGTAAGGCCAGGAGATACGTTCGATCCGCTTCATGCCGCTTGTTCCGCTCGAGTCGCGATGCCGACGAAGAGACCATCCCTTTTGGATTCCGAAGTCGAGGGGCAGAGTGGGCCTTGGCTTGGTGGGATGGGCATAGCCGCTAGCCAATTCTGAAACGGCGCCCCGGGTACCCTGTGCACCACCGTTCGGGGAGCAGGCTTTGAAAAAGGAAGGTTTGAACTGAAGAGCACTCCCCTCACGGTCTTACAAACCTTCAGCGGTTACTTCGACATAGAAATGATCTCAGGGGTCCCCAGAAGCCACTCAGCCGCTCAAAATGTCCTCAAGATAACTACCGGTCTGTGAGGCCTTCGCCTGCTGAATCCTCGATGGATTTAAGCTCAATCTGTTAGAAACAATGCCATTGCACCAGCTAAACACCTTGGATTGCCAGCATCTATTGGGTCGCGCCACCAGAGGAGCGAGTGAGCCGGCCTAGAGGCTCGAGAGTCCGCCGTGCTTCGGCTTGGTATAGACTGGCCGCGAATTCGTGTCAGAGAGCAAAGGAGCAGAGAAGCCTTTGGGTCGACCCAACGAGAGTTCAAGTCCTGCCGAATCGAACCGGGAGTGGCTTTCAGACCTCAATGTGCGCTCCAAAAGGGGACCAAAAGGATGCTAATTACTAGGAACAAAGGGCATCGCGACTCGAACGGAGCGATCGGACGCTAACCGAACGGGGCTCCTGGCCGTACTACGAACGGAGCAAGGATCGCGAACCGAACGGAGCTTTTAGTGGACGCTACTAGGTCACCAGGGAATCGAACCGGCGGATCTTTTTCTGGATCAGAGGGCCAAACTGGGACATGTAGAAACTCCAAAAGGACCACGGCAAAAGTGCTGATCTGATGGTTGCAAAAATCTGTTCCAAGTTTCGCACAGAAAACAGCGAACACACACCTAAACCTGGCGGGTGGGGAAAGTGGAGTTCCTGAAACATGTTCAAACCGCATGTTTGTCATTTTCTGATCCACCAATGGACCAACTAGTTCAGTGTGTCACTGAATTCTTTCCTACTAGGCGAACCAGCTGTAGCAAGCTTGGCTTGTTTTGGCTGATAAGCTGACAGGTCATAATAAGGACTCATTTCACGGATCCTTATAAAGGTTGGGATCACCATGTTCTCGGATGAGTCTGGCATCCTCAGTTCTTGAAAAACATCTATCGCAGATCTCCCGTACCGAGTGTTTGATCTGTAATAAACCAGTGGCCCCTCACGCAGTGACCTGACCCGCGAGACGTACTATCTTCACGATGAAGATATTTCATTCAGGTCGCGGGGATGCACGGAACGAGCCGAAAAGCACTTTGGGTGGGAATGTAAAACATGTATTGAGGGATCTCCTAAGGCTAAGGAATGTTCACGATCCTTGAGATCACGACCCATGCCATTCAATTTCTGTGGGGACGGGTCGATCAACATCTCAACACAAGCATGTCGGGAGGATCTTGTTTGTTTTTTTCATTTGTTACTTTTTTCGGCCAAAAAGGCACCTGCGAGGGACCCAGCCATCTCCTAGAGCTCTCCTCCTTTGGTGCAGCTGAGCTGGCCTAGCTGCTGGCTCTGCTGGCTCTGCCGGCTCTGCTCCCAAGCTGTACGCAGCAAGCGAGTGCTCTCCCAGCGGGAAAAAAAGGCTCTCAGAGCAACGCAAAAGCCGCCGCGGGTGCCGTGGAACACGCCGTTGAACACGATGCCCATGGGTTTCATGATGAGTTTCTAAGAAGCCCAGGGTCTTTTTGGTCAAGAAATTATGTTTTGGATCCGTGGACAATACTCAAAGGTCCAATAAATTCCCGTTTTTGTTGCGTTGCGGTGAGTCGACAAGCGACGTCAGTGGCCAAGTGTTCAAGCTCAAGCTTTCTCCTTCCGCGCCAGTGCTTGGCGCCATAGAAGCACCTCTGGCGCTTGTTGTTCGAACCAACAGTCTCTTCCAGACTCTTTCCCAGAAACGGACCTTTCAACCGGTTTTGCTGCGGTGAAACCGCCTCAGGATCGGTGGCCAGGCCCTTCTCCCCCCCACCAAACTCACCAAACGCACCGGTCGCACCGTCGCAACCAAAGACGGGATGTTTCGCTCTCTTCCGAGCAGCTGGCGACCACCCGCTGTTCGTTCGCTGGGCAGAAGAGAAGTCAGAACTTGTGAATTTCAAGTCAGATCACATTTGATTGGCCATGAAGACAAATCAGATATGCAGGAAAGAACGACCCCGTTAAACGTTAAACCTCAGACATGTCTTGCTCGATCCTCAATCCTCCTCTTCTTTTGGAACGCCTGGAACGGGGGCCTCAAACCTCGGACCTTTCGGCCCTGCCTGCTCTCGCTCCGCATCGGCGTCGTCCGAACAAACAGATTGACCTCGCAGGTTCATGAGGTCAATGACCTTTGGGGAGATCGTGCACAAAAGGGCTGCAACTGTACCATCTCGTGACTGCAAGGTTGGAGCTACCGGTCGCGGCTATAGGGCAGGAGGAAAACTGGGGCGAGTTTGTGCGAGTTTTCCAGAGGCTACAAAAAAACTGAGGAATTCTGAGAGATCTTCAGGAAACGGAAGGCCAAGAAAACCAAGAATGGAATTGTTGACTGACTCATCTTTCCTGGCGACCTATTCATGGTGCTTAACCAGCATGGCGCCGAACTCGTGGGCGTTTGGGCGGGCCTCCGGGGTTTGGAGATTTTCATGACCAGAATCCGCTGGCCACCCCCAAGTGCTGGTCATACTTGTACTAATAGACACATCCTGCACGAAAGCCCTGGGCTCCAGAGATACCGTATACAAGAACAATTGGAAGCGGGATCCCTGTGCACAGCCCAGTTTAGCCGAATGGCATCACAGAAAAGGTGCTCAACAGCGCAATCCTAACGACATAGCAGTAGGGGTGCCCCACAATCGAATGAGTTGCACCTCCCAGGACCTACCCGGGTTGCTATCGTAGGAACCTGGATGGGGTAGTTGCCTGCCCATATATTATATATATTATATTATACACATACTGTTTCTGACACTGTTGATGTTTTTCTCGAATGAGTGCAGCCATGCCTCCAGCCAGGTGCCCATCATCTAGGGATGAAGGTGGCACTGGTGAAGTCCGGGGGTTTCGTTTTGGAATGGGTGGACCTCCTTGCAGATGGACGAGGCCTCATGCGAACGGTTCATGCTTCTGAACTGATGCCTGAAGAAAGACGGAGACGGAGACGAGATGTTGAGATGCAGCGTGAATACTGATGTTGTCACCCGGTTTGTCAAGGGCACTCATGACGTGTTTGACTTCGTCCACGAGTCAAGGCAACATCCACCAATAATCTCGACGCGAGATGAATCGCTGTCACACCGAAGAAAGAAGCAGCGAACAAATTCGTCGCAAAGGGTATATATAGCTGTTTTTTCTTCTGGCATGCTGTTTCATGGAGAGTTGCTGCTCTCTTGAAGTGTTTCTGGACCAGTCTGATTAAATGCTGTAGGTTTTCAGCTCCAAGTGACAGGCCAATTGGCTGGCTCAGTTTGGTTCACATATGTTCATATCAAATGGATTCAAATGGTTTTGTTAGATGCGAAGACACTGTTTTGGATCAAACTCCGTGCTTCCTGTGTCCCAGACCCTCGCGAGCATGCAGAGAATTGCCTACAAAAGGGATGTGAATTAGACGCCCATGTATCAACGTGCACTCGTGCGTGCATGGCTGTGTATCTCTCCATGAGACAGATTGACGGATGGAGTTTATTTGCCTTCCAAAGGAAGGATCACACAAACC